AATAAGCATTCAGCAAACGGCTTGCGATACACTGGGAATACACAAATACACGGCTAGCGATACACGTGGCCGAGAGACCTCATGAAAATGCAGATAAGAGGTCTGTGCGTGAGTTGTTTGTGTATATGATTGTTTTGATTATACACGTTTGTAGTTATCTGCCAGCTGACTGCCAGCTTTCCTTCGCAAAATAGCGGAGGCATAGCAGAGCATTTGTGAAACAAGAGTTGTCCGTTTGCTAAGTTCTCCGTTATGCCTCCATTCGCTAAATAGCAAACAGACAACTTCGCGGACAACTTTAGCGGACGTTAGTGAAACGCGCCCCTGTTCATCTCTTTTTTATTCTTCCTTCAATTTGAATTTTAAAAGTACAGTACTGCCTGAAAATCCAGAAAATCTGAAAATCCGGATTGACGCAATCCCTGAGCAGTCTGTATTTTCTGACTTCTACTGTAGTATAATACAATGACCAGAAACCCAATAATATAAAAACTGTCACATATTACCACCAACACAGTTAGATATGGACTTTTTTCATGCAAGTAATACAGTCAAACCTCGATTATCCAAACGAGACGGGCGGGGAGTATTTTCTTCGGACAATTGATTTTTCGGATATCGGGTGGTATAGTAGCTTATTAAATATTCACAGGACCTTGAGATCTTGTTCAGATAATCTGAAATTCTGATAACTGAGGTTTGACTGTAACATGTTATTATAATGCAAGGATCAGAAGATGGCAGATTAGAAATAATACTCGTCAAGTTTTCAACACGACATTGATGAGTGATGATGATCGGTTGTCATGACAATTATATTCCAGGAGCGTCGCCATGGTTACAGACAAGTTACGTTGTCAGAATACAGTGTGGCCCCGTTATAATGCGATCATTGAGGATCATTGAGGTCCATAAAATATCATCGTGAAAAAAGCGGGGTCACGCTAAATCAGGGTTCAAGAAAATCAACATATAAACTGACCAAATGTTTACCTAACATCCCAAAACACCCCTATTTTCGCCCTATTTGACCCGTTTTTTGCAAGTATACCTTCCGGCAAGTAAATTACCGTTACATTAAAAAATTCTGCAAATAAATCGTTGTTATAGTAGAAATTAATTAGAATTTAGTGCTCGTCACTGTCAGTCGTGTCGCTGCCGACCTAAGCACTCAGTCGCAGTGAGTTGCAATGCGTTGCATCACGTCGCATTCAATCGCAATCCGACCAAAGGCCGGCTTAACTCACCAAAAAACTTTTCAGTTCCGGAAAGAGCAAAAAAAAAAGGTCAAATTACTCATCACGTTATATCCGAATTCGCGTTAAATCGGAGTGAGTAAAATCGGGATTCCACTCTATCATTTCACTCACTGTTAAGACATCGATGATAGACAGCAGACTCTGAATGCTATCTCCTGGTCCTACCTCTTTCACCACTAACTCTGTTCCATCCTTGAATAAACAATTTATTTGGGTAAACAATTATATATCCTATAGATGCTCAAAACACACACACATGCATGAACGCACGCACGCACGCACGCACACACACACATACACAGCAATGCATGATCCACAAGATATGAAAACATATGAACGAATACTGCATGCACTCACAAGTGAGACCACACATGTTAAACTTGACTCGACACTTATATAAAGCCAAAATATAACAATATTTATACTTCTAAAAAGACTTCTCATTGATATATAACAACATAACAATACGCCTATCTACCTGTAAGCTAACTCAATTTTACTGATGGGTGTACATGCATCGCTTACCAGCTGTGTGACACTAAGGCAAATCTTCCCAGCCTGGACCACATAAATGCTGTTGTCCTTCTCGCCGATACGAAAAAGATAGCCATGCTGAGGGATGCACAGAGAAGTCGTGTGCTTGCACAGCTCGAAAAACATGGGCTTCTCAAAATGGCCCAGCACTCTGTGTGTCAATACAAGAACAAAATCCAAATCAGTAACAAATCCCTTGGTAACTTAAGCTGACCTGAACTAAATGTCTCAAACCTTTCCCACCTATTTCACTTCTTCTTCACCCTAGCGACCAAGTAAAAACGGCGGCCTCCACATTAGCACCAAAACACTAAAACCAAGTGTAGCTGGAAAGACTTGAAAACTAATCCCGTTTACCTGACGCTCTTAAGCATGTAGAGAACCTCAGGCGGAAGCTCCAGCTCCTTCTCCTCGACCAGGTCTTCCTCCAGGTATGCCGGCGGAGGCTCCTTCGGGCGCAGCAGTGGCTTGCTGTCCTTTTTGCTCAGGCGCATCAAACGCTTGGCAAACTTCAGCACCAACTGTCGCTTTTTTATTCGCCGGCCGGATGTATCCATCTTACTCATCGATAAAGAACTGTTCACCTGCAAACACAATAAAAGTGTCAATGACATTGTAGCTCACCTTGGGTGTGATAGAAGAGGGAGGGGGGATATACAAAGCAAGATTATATATGGGAGAACTCCCATTATATAGCATATATCTCCCATTATATACTCTTGATAATGATATAATATATGCATAAGTTTTGATGCGAAAATTAATGTTTCAGATCTTTACGAGAGATGGCGCTACGCCTAAATGATCGCCACTTTGGTTTTCGAATATTGCGCAAATAAAAACAATAAAATATTCCAGTCAAATTACTGTAGTGAAGAATCTAAAACACAATATTACACGTATATAGGTATGATTGTAGAGTTGTTGACCAGTTAGACGAAATAAACGTAATAACTGTTGTCATCTCTCCCATAGAAGTAACAACTGTTTTGGGGCTAGCCTTACACATTCATATACCAAAATTTAACAAAATCAAATAAATTTAGATGGCCATTTTCATTTTAGTTAAAAAGTGGGTGTGGCTCAAATCTCTCCCATAGTCCTGAGTAACAACTGTATTCAATTTGAAACATGTGGGTCAAACGGTTTTTGAGTTATCGTTGACCGTAGACAGACACTGAAATGCATAGTGAAATTGCCAAAATATACCTAATTTGCATAATAACAAAAAAATAATAAAAACCCGTGTGATACGTTTTGGGGCCAGTCCTTATTCATTCACATACTAGAAATGAGCAAAATCCATTGAACCTGAATTGACTTATATGGCCATTTCCATTTTTGCCAAAAAGTGGACGTGGCTCGAAAATAGGTCGACTGGCGTAGTCCAAAATAGGACGTTCAAATCTCTCCCATAGGAGTAACAACTGCATGCAATTTAAAACATGTGGGTCAATTTGAGTTATCGTTGACCATAGCCAAATGTTTACGGACTGACGGACGAACGGATGGACGGACGTACGTACGACGACGACACCCCATGGCAATAGCTCATCTTGACGATGTCAAGGCGAGCTAAAAATGACAAGTCGTGTGGACAATCCACCGATGTATCGTGGATTTTCGAACGTCCCGACTGACAGCCATGTTGTTCTTGGCACCCGCTAGGAAAACTCGTAAATTTGTGTTATTTCTTGTAATTGATAGTCTGTAAAACCTACCATGATTTATGTAACAGTGGTGCCGCTGTTCGTCACAAGTAAGTCATAATTATGTAGCAGACACATATACATCGTTTCCTGCCTGCACACCGCCAATAGTACTGTAAGTGTAAGTGTAAGTGTAAGTGAGAATACGTAAAACTCTCTACTTTGCTTTTAACTTTTAACGATACATTCCATTGCATGGAATTTAAATACGTGTTCAGCAGAGACCTAATTGTGGAACGTGCCAACTGGTATGTAGTGGCAGGAAACGATGTATATGTATGTCTGCTACATAGTTGTGACTTACTTGTTGTGATGAACAGCTGCACCACTGTTACATAAGTTATGGTAGGTTTTACAGAATACCGATTACAAGAAATAACGAAAATTCACAAGTTCTCCTAGCGGGTGCCAAGAAGACCATAGCTGTCGCTAATAGTACTGCAAGCTAGTATAAGTAAAACTCTCTATCTTGCTTTAAACCTTTAACAATACATACCATTACATGAAATTTAAATACGTATTCAGCAGAGACCTACATGTTTCCTAAAGATGAGCACAAAGAGTTACTTGCTAATTTTTTGTTTACTCTATTTCATGCACATAAATGGAATAAAATCGTACTTTTCTCAACATCTTTCGACCATAAAACATGACTTTATCCCGTTTTCGGAACCTTGGCGTTTTCTTTCCAGCTCCCATCCGTGACTTTATCTGTGGTATAACTTCCTCTACTGCAATGTACAATAAATGCACGAATTGCATTTTGGACATTTATTAACGACACAGAATGACATTGATCTATGACAGAACTGTAGAACTTGAGCTAAATGTATTTCCGTACCTTTTTTGCGACATTTCCGGCAGAGTACCACGGTCCACATGACAACCAGTCCCAATATAATAAGACTGATTAGGAGAATCTGAAAAAAAAACAAGACCAAATGTACAGCTTTAACGATTAGTTAAATATTGATATTTCTGAGGTTGACTGTGAATGTGTAGAGGTTGACGGGATAGCTAGAATCACACTCAGTTCCACTTTTCAAGAGTAAAAATATTCGAGGTTTTCAAGCCCTGTCTCTTGTTTAAAAGTAAAAAGATCACGAGTTTGCTTGTTCAAAAATCATGGCTATAAGTAGCTTGTGTGGCTGACTACGATTGCAGATAGATTCGTGACAAGGCGAGTGAGCACAGAATGACATTATGATGGAGAAGACCCATGAACGCAGATAGTAGAACAAAGAACGATCATCGGACTGTCAAGCGCGAAATAATAAATA